TTTGAATAGACCTATTTTATTAATAATGATATCAAATGGGTATGTACAAAGAAAATAATAACTGCAGATAAAATATATGGTTTAAAATAGTAGTAGTAATTATTATTTGTATAAAATCAGTAAGTACTTTTGAGAATCCACAGCTCATATTTTTCAGAATTCTAAACAGCTCATAATTCATAAAACAATAATTGTTTTGTAAATTATAAATCTGCTGTCTTTGATTTTACTCTTTGTATCATTATTATACATTGTTTAGAATATTCTGGCAATGACAAAATTGAATGTTCTCAAGTACTTAGTAAACAAAAGTTTTGACATCTGGAGAAAGTTATGTTTTCTTTTATTTTATGAACAGTAGAAGTTGAAAGAATAACAAAATCATAAAAAATAATATTTTACTAATTATTTTTGATTGAAGTGTATATTACAGGTTGTAACTATTTTAAAAATATCATAATTTCCTGTCTGTGATCTATGGATTATAGGTTTATCTACAGCATAAAAAAAAATGGTTATAAAATTATTTTACTTACTGTATGTTAAAGTTTTCTTGAGGTGGTAAAACATAACAGGATGTTTGTGTCAGGTAGATGCAAAAGACAAAGGTGTTGATGAACTCATTCACATATACTTGTGAATGGAATATAGTAAAAATTAAGAGATGCAGTTTTATGATATAAGAAAATTGACTAAAAGGCTTAAAATAAACACTTTTACCTTTTTCATTTAAGGTTTCTTCAGATTAGAACTTCATTACAGATAGGAAAACTCAGTTAATTACTGTTTTTGACCAAGAGATGAAAAGACATTATTTATATCTGAAACAATCTTAATTAAATCATGTAAGATAAGCAATATCCCAATGTTAAACTTGTTGGAAATTTGGAACTACATGATTTAATGTACTAATTGTGGGAAGGGATGTCTGCTATTGCCAAAAGTTTGTTAAATTGAATGTGTTTTAAAAATGCATATTAATAGCAAACTTAAAATATGCAAGATGTGTTGAAATGTTATTATGACGTATAAATATGAATAAAATAATATAATGTACAGTATATTGAGTAATTTATACTCATTCACTCATTAGGATAAGCTTATAATTTGAAGTAAATGCTACTTTTATTCATACAGAATACTTATTACTAAAGCAAAACTTTATTCAAAAATAATTGCTTCGTACTCATAAGTATAAGGTTTGCTTCTATTTTTATTCATACAGCTAAAAGGATTTCCTTCAAATTTTACAAGAATAAGGTAATGTTTGTTTTTATTCATATGCCTTTTAGCATGCTTTATTCATGAACAAAAAATATTTTAAATATTTCTTACAAGACAAAGTTTTTATCCATTAGATTTGAAGTTCACTAAATTGGGACATGTTAAATCAAAAGTTTACTGTGTTACATAAACCTTTCAGTCATGTTTTATTTTATTTTATTTATTTTTTATATAATTAATTTTATGTAAATATGTAATATTTATTTATTGTACAGTAAAGCTTAAATAAAATGAAAACCTGCAAAAATGGAAAAATTCTTTAGAACAGAGTGATTTTCTGTTAAGTTCTACAAGCTGGTAATCTGTCCAATATGGAAACAGAAGAGATTTTTGGATACAAACATAACATAACCAGGATAAAGTCAAAAATGAAGATTTCACTCATAGACAAATAAGTAAAATCACTTGCATATATAGTGGCCATTGCAGAGAATGACAAACTGTATTTTCAGGACATTTTCAAATTTTGTCAGGGAAACAAAAATCATGTGACAAAAGGATATACAGACACAAACCTTATTAAACTGGCATACCGGCTTTTACCATACGGAAATAGTTGATTTCCTGGTCTCCCTGGATAGACCCGCATTCTGGTCATTCTGTGAAAATACAGTAGTAATTAACTAATACTGAATATTCAAAAAATAAATTGATTAACATCTTGATACTTACAGAGATTGAAGTCAACAATTAATCAAAGTATTAAAATTCCTCAAGAAGTCAGACTGTAGAACAACTTGATCTCTTACTTATCTAACCACCTAAAAGAGGTTTGTGGACTAATAAACAAAAATTGTTATGTCCTTCTAATCCAACTGTTTGCCAGAGTTCAAGAATTACTCAGAAGCTATTTTAATTTCCGTATGTTTTATTTAAATGCATTTTGGATCCAACTTTTTCGTCGATCCCTCCTCAGTAATGCTTACATAAATATTTTACAGTAGGTATTGCCTATGACAAAGACTATACCAAGTATTCACAATTATCTAAAAGCACACTGAAATTCTAAACAAAACTTGATCTCTGTATTAGTGTGATTAGAATTTCTGATAGCAGGACAAGATATTCTGAGAACAGTTTTCATTTTCATATAGTTTTTGATGCTCTATTTCACTTGTGGGAATTCATAAGGATTATATCAGAGAAATATTTGAATACCTAGCACAAGTTCTTGGAAACAACAAATTTTTTGCAATCAAATAGTTTTCAATTCTTGAATTCCAATATTCCCATGTTTAGTTACCTAAGTAAGAATTACTTTGAATTAAACCTAGTAATAAATTTTTTATGTATGTGAAAGTGATTTTATTATAAAAAAAAATAAACACAACTATGACTTATATTAAAAAGCTTCTTGTCTGTATTATTTCATTACAAAAACATAGTTACTTATGGCTAATGAACAGGCTTATTATATTAATTAAATATACTGGGAGTATAATAAGCTAGTTCATTAGTCCTAAGTAACTATGTTTTTGTATTAAACTACTATGTGACATTTATCTGGTGTAATTTAAAGATATAAAGAGAAAAAATACTAAAACCTGTTCAAAACAGAAATCTGCCAAAATGTAAGAAAATAATTGGGTACCATGCAGTTCCAGTTTACACAGGTTTTACTGTATATAATTTTATATTCTAACAAATGCGTAAATTTGCATATACAGTAGTACTTAATTTAAAATCTATTTGAATAACTGCTTGTTTGAATTTGTAATGAAGTTCTAATCAGAAAAAGTCTTTCTTCCTATCCCAAAAATAATCCTGTTTTATATTAATTAATAATTTAAAAATTACTTTTTAATAAAATCTTGTAACAGATGGTACCAAATGTAACTCTACTTTTGTAATTATAAGTTCTGGGAAAGTTATGCAAGAGCCATTGCCAGCTTTTTTTAATTTTTGAGTGCTGATGGCATAAATTGGAGTTGTTGCAGTTAAACATGAATAAACTTACAAGATGATGTTATATAGTTTGTATTTATTTCTCATTACAGCATTAAATTTAATTATTGTATTGTGCCATTAGCAAGATTGTTTAAACTCAAAATAACTTTTTTAATATACTAGTTTTAGCTACTGTAAGTTGGGAAGTCATAAATTGGACTGCATTTTATAATTTTGGATTTTAAACTCTGACTGTACTGCTTTGAAAAGAATTGTTTCTTTTCTAGATTTGAAAATATTTAATTATTAGATGTCCTTACAAACTGCATCATTTCATTGCTGATGTGCCCAGAAAGCAAATAAACAATGATACAAATTTATACAAATTATATGATAGATTTTTTTTGTCAGTAAAAAATTATCCCTACAGATTATACGTTCTGCATATTATATGACAAACTTTTTTCAACAAAAAATTGCACTTGTGGATTACAGGCAGGAAATTATAGTAAGTTATATAAAAAATGTTTTGTGTAGCTGTTGGATGTAGAATAAAATAGTTTGTGTTATATATTTTGTGTGGCTATGTGTGAATGTTTGAACAGTTTAACAGTGCAATCATGTAAATACACAAGGAGACAAACCATATGGGTAGAAACAAATGGTTTAATACTCAGAAAACAATTGTTTTAACAAAATATGGACACAAGTCTAGATCACATGCCTGAGATTTCAGTCTAGAAAGCTAATTTGCACTTTAGACATATTCTTGGAGAGAATTGATTTTTCTTTTCCTTCCTTCATGTCACAACAATGAAATACCAAGCAATTACAATCACTGAAACTAATATTTATTATTTAATTTATTATTATATCTCAATTCTTTCTATTCTCTCTTAAGCAAAGTTAACATAGTCTTTCTTTGTAGTCTGTTAATATTGTTAAGTCATTTTTTTCTGTGATTCAACTGAGACGTCAACTGTTGATCCCATACTATCACGTGAACAATCTTTCTTCTTTGTTTCATAGGCCCAACAGTGGCCAAGCAGTTCTGCTTTTTGAACACTGGGAGTTGGTCATGGGTTCACGACTTGTCAGCACAGGCTGGCCATGTGGAGTTTTCCAGGTTTTCTCCATGTCTAATGCCTGAATAGGGGCCAGTTACCCTTAAAAAGACCTCCTGGAAGGTGGCAGATTGCCTAAGTGTTGGTGTTGCATTGCCATAACTTAACAAACAAACATCTTTGTTACATGCTCCTCTAACCCACTCTTCAATCTGGAATTTTATGTCATCTCCAGACTATACCCTTAGAGTTTTTGTCTAAGGCTTCTATAAGTTTTGAGATGTGTTTACTAATGTATTGATAATCAGATTCCCTTAGGACAATGGCATTAACTGCTCATTCATACATAAAGGAATGCAGTGTGAAATGGAGATTACAATAAATATGACCATAAATATGGTCATCAGATCACAAGTTTTAAATTAAGTAATTCGAATAATTCTTCACATTTTATATGAAAAACAATGCTAGACACTTAATGTAATATAATCAGAATTTAAAACTATTTTACCAGTTTTGTTTTATCAGAAAAATATAAAAGTTCTAATATTTTCTTCACTTGAAGTGATTTTGCTGAACTTTGATTTTGAATTAGACTTACTAGAATATATGTAATGCTATAAATATCCCAAGATATTGTGAATTGAAAATTGATGACTTAAGTTCATATCTAAACGTATTCAAATTTAAAATATTTATAATAAATATTATAATTTAACATTGTAGTAATACTTTGAATAATTCATGTACATTATTTTCTTCCAGATCCAGTCCATTAGGTTACATTCAACGGCTCCAGCAGATAAAACATTTTGTGATATAAATGCAACAGCAAGTCAAGAAAATCACGATACATCTCAGTTTTTATATCATTCTGTAAAACAAGAAAATAAAGATGAAAAGTCTACTGATATTCCATTATTGAATGGATTACCTGTAGCCACAGGTCAACCATTTGCTTATGCTGCATTTTCTTTACATGGTGGTACTATTTCATATTATTTTGAGCCATCTTCAGTAGTTCATTTAGCTCAAACGCAAGTAACTGCATCCATTCAGACAGAATCAGGAAAAAGATCTCAAGGTACTTCACCACTTCATTCTGTTACGCCATCTCCACCTCCTAATAATCCATCAGAACATGGCACTCAAGCATCAGGATCTGATGATCCACTTGAAGAAGAAGAAGAAAGTGATGATAGCAGTAGTTCCAATCAAGTCTGTACTCAAACAAAATTGAGCAACAATGCATTAGCTGTAGCAACAGCAACTCAAGTAGATATGAATTCAGATGACGATTATGAGGAAAGAAACGTTGAAACTTCCGATTCTGCATGCCAAACCGAAGCAATTGTAGGTAATGTTAGAGAAGATGGGACAGAAGATGATATTTCTTTACAAAGCCAATTAGATGTTGAAAATAATCCTGATAGAGAAAACAGCAATACATTATCTCCTCCAGATTTAAGTACTTTAGAAAAAGCTCCCAAATTATCTGTTGCTACTGAAAATAATTTGAGTCATACAGATATAAATAAATTAACAACAGAAATTTGTCCCAGTGATGTCGAAATATCCTTAGATTCAACACCAGTGTTAACAGCAGAGAGTAAACCTGTTATGGATTTTATCGATCATCATGGATTAGATCTTTTAGTCGACAGCATAGAAGAATTTGCTTGCCGTGAACAAGAAATGAAACAGGAAGACAGGGAATCATCTGAAACCAATAGCTCCAATGACAAAAATGAAACTAAAACAGAAAAAAAAGAAGAAAAAGTAATTTCAGAAAACAATAATAGCTCAACTTCCGAAGACAAAACTTCTTATCCTAGTATAGATCCTTTAAGTGTAGATGGTTTAGGTTTGCTATGTGCTCTTGCCGAACAAAGATTCCTAGAAGAAACAATGAATTCACGTGAAAGCAAAGATAAAAAATATTTAAATCATTTAAATCCATGCAAACCTTCTTTAACATTCAAATCAGTAAAAAAACTTGATATTAATAGTAATGCAGTAGATGAAAGAAAGTCTATTTTAGATTCTGTTTCAGTTTCTTCAATTCAGAAAAAAATGGGTTCAGATCAGAAATTTAGCAAAACTATAAACTTGACAACTAGCGATACAATGGATGCTACCGAATTAGAAATGAGGATACGAATGGCCGAATTGCAACATAAATATAAACAGAAACAGCAAGAACTTTCTCGTTTAAGACCAAAAAAACAAAAAGAGTAAGTTTTTAAAATTCTTTCATTCTTTATATATTTTTAAGAAAGTACACAAATATTAAACAAAGTTAATTAAATTATTTTACTCCCCTATAGTATAGATCTTTCTGTGAAAAAATCAGTTGGAAAAGTAAAAGGACAACAGATTTTAACATATTGTAAAGAAAAAATTGCAAAGAAATCAAATGTTGTTGCAATAAATACTCATGAAGTCACTCATCAGAATTTAATTCCAGAGAAACCTAAATGTGAGCCAGTAACTGAAAAACAAAACTCTATAGAAAAAGCTCAAAAAGTAAGTATTAATCAAAAATGTTCAAATAATCAGGCCTCAGAGTCACTCGCTTTTCTGTATCTTAAATTTTGGGGTGGGGGTGAAAGTAATGAGCACAATTGCCATCGGCCCATGGGACATCCTTCCCTCGATGCTACATTGGGACACAATATCAAATACAGTGCCTTTCACACTAGCAGGTGCAAGCACCTGCTAGTAAGGGATTGGCCGAAGCGAAAAGAAAGAGCCTGGTTCAATATAAAGAAAGATTCCTCCAACATATGCTGGATGGCAGTACAGCCGACATAGCTGGTATGGTATGGGAGTCACCCCAAACCAACAGAACCTGCCGAAGCAGGACTTCAAGTCTTCCAGAGAAGGGTGATCACCTCCAGCCAGATGGTCGACCCCAGTGAAGACCCATGGGACTTGTGCCCCCTCAACCAGAACTACCATTTTGCCCCAGTAGCCCGGGAGTGCCAGCCCAATTCCCATGTTTGACCCCCCTCGAAACAAGATCCAGGCCAACCCAAGCGAGGGCACATCAAGGATGGGAATTCTGGAGGTGGTAACTCTTGCCCACAAGACACCATCCCCAGTTCCCAAGCAGCCCTCAATGCAGAAAAAGGAGACCTGAAGACTTGCCAAGGAGCAGCCAGATGCAGAAAATTCCCAGGACCAAGAGCCCTATGTAAAGACCACGTGCAGGTACAATACCGGAGTCTAGCCAAGAGGCCTCAATCAAGGCAGGGTGGAGAAGCTTCCCAGGCCCTAGAGCCTATGAAACAGACCGCTAACAGTCACTCACGTTTTTGATCACTTCCACGTGCTTAATTAGGAAGATGTGGGACCAATCAAAAATAATTTTAAAGCCACACAATCTGCCGAATTAGCGGACTATTTGACTAGAATTATCTGGAAGAAAATAGTCGGCCCTGAGTGGGATTCAAAACCGAAACTGCCACTCAGTGTTGTTAGGTTATAGGAAACAAAAATTCCTTTCACGTATGTAAAAAATCCCTCCATTACAAATTCAGAAGCAAACGTTATGTACTCATGCCATATTGTCATTATTAGCCAAAATCTATTCTTCAGAGTTGCATTTCCTTCTACGGAGATTAAAAATAAGTATTCTAAACATCCCTACGTTTTTGGCTGTTCTCGAAGAAAATCTCTTTGCAGGGAAAAAAAAGCACTACACCGAGGGATAAATCTCTCGAACTGACAACATTGCTGCCACTTCTAAATTTAAAATAAACACGAGGTAGTGGCGTAACCTCCCACTTCTAGGCAAATTATTTCGTTTCTGACTATTTAATTATCCTTGTTATAGCCCAATAATTAGGCAGATCATCTGGTTTTAATTAACAATTTGGGTTATGGAGTTGTCGTTTACAAAAATATTGTTTTTACTCGATTTATTTTTAAATACAGTAATTTCATAAACTTGATTTAAATAGAATAAAGTTATTTTAATGATTTCATAGCATATTTTTAACGTTAAATCACATCTATATATTCCCAAATGCATGTTTAAATTGACTAAAAGTATAATTATTCCATGTAGTAAGTATTATTTTCATAAAATGTGTGATTACTTTATTTGTGAAATATCAATTCTTTAATCTCTTCTCTTATGCCGATTATAATTGTTCATTAATTGAGAGACTAAAAGAGTAAACGAAAATGTAAATTCATATTTTCATATAAAATTTACCAAATAAATTAAAAGATTCGAAGAGTGTTGTAAAAAGTACTATTTGAAATCTGTTTATTTCAGATTTATTAATTTATTTTGAAATCAATATTTACACAGTATTAAAAAATAAACAGTTTCTGATCATGATAGATATTCCAGTGTAGCCGAATTAGTGAAATCAGCATTGACCCTCTGTCATGGCAATGCTTATGTGGAACGGAGATTTTTTCAATTTCACGCCGGGTACTTCCTCCCGATAGAGCATCAATGTAGGAAAGAATGCTTAAACCAGAAAAAAAAACTAGAAGAAAGTGAAATACGTGCGATAGGCCAAGTTTTGTTAGAAGCAGCAAACAAAAAAAATGAAGAAGGCCATTAACAGCAAGAACATGAATAAAGTACGGGCAGTACATGTTATGTTTGTTAGTGTTAAAAGTGTTCAAAAGCAAGAGGAAGCTGAAAACATCCAGAATAATCTTTTATGACTGATTATTTAAAGAAGCCAAAGACTTTTCAAGTATTCATGGTTTATTAGAAATACAGTAGCCCCTTGTTATATCGCGCTTGTCGGGAGACAAAGAAAAAGCGCGATATAACCGAGTAATTAAAAATCTGGGCTTATACTAAACAGATTATAAATGCTATGGAATCTCTATTCTCTGTTCTTTCATCGGCAAGTTTTTCTGATATAAAATAAGCTTAGTTATTTCATTACTGAATTTATTCATGGTTATATCGTATTAATTGACGTTTACGTAAACATGATACCACCAACGTCCATTTAGCATTATTATTTCTTTAACAATGACATTTAAAAAGAAATATTGTCGATATAAAAACAAAATATCAGTGGCGATTTTATTATACAGTATTATATTTCACAATAAATCGCTTATTAAAAATTGTTGTAATTTATATTCTTCAATAAAAATTATAAATGCAGCAATTGAAAATTTTAAAAAATAAATATCTAAATATATATAACTCAAAGGTGACTGACATAGTGATCTATCAACGCACAGCCCAAACCACTGGACGGATCGGGCTGAAATTTGGCATGCAGGTAGATGTTATGACGTAGGCATCCGCTAAGAAAGGATTTTGATCAATTCTACCCCCAAGGGGATAAAATAGGGGATGAATGTTTGTATGAAACTTTGTCAATTTTAAACCGATCGGGCTGAGACTTTGCATGCATAAAGCTACTATGACGTAGGCATCCCCTAAGAAAGGATTTTGATAAATTCCACCCCTAAGGGGATAAAATAGGGGATGAAAGTTTGTATAAATCTT